TGATTTAGTTTCTTATCAATCTTTTAGGTTAACCAGATCAAACATGTATCAATAGAAGGATTTCAATAAAAGAAAATTTTGATGATAATGCCATTTCCATTATCATTGAATCATCTTATTCTTAGTTCTTAGAACTCTTTCTAGACAACTATCTTTTTTTTTGTTGTTGATTGACTATGTTGCCTGACATCTGGGTTCATCCGCTTGTCTTTGGTTAGAGGAAGGACTAAGCTCTTACGACCTACTCCATCTCAATGAACCATCTTGTATAACTAACTAAGCATTCTAGATTTGTCTAAATGCAATGCAGCATGCATTAGGAAATTAAAACAACGTGGCTAAATGGTAGCACGGCTTGTGTCAATATCTCTTGCCACGTCATGTACCAAAAATGATCTTAAGATCATTTGTCTTGTTTGATATATTGATGTATGGCTTATTACTTGATTGGGAGCACACAGTAAGATGAGTTTGAGTTTCCTTGGGATTAAGCATAAAATTTTCAGCTGCACAAAATTGAAGCTATGGTTTAATCAATAAAATGAATAAGCCATACATGCATAATGGAGCAAGAATAACTTAAAAAAGAATATGAATAAACATAAAATTTAGATTTTAGATTTTACTTTGGAAGAGATGGATCAATCTTGGATTCTTGGTTGCACACATCTTACTTCCTTGTCTTTTTTTCGCTCTTAGTTTTCATCATTATTGGTTCGATAGAAAAAGGATGATAGAGAGGGAGAGGGAGAGAGAGAGAGGTGAGGGAAGAGAATGTTAGAGGAGATATGTAAGAGAGAAGTAGAGAGGAATACATGGGCAAGTGTAGGAAATATTTTCTATTCATGCGCAACAAACTTTATGAGGTTTTCTATCTATAAATCTTAGAAATTGTATCCTATTTTTCCTAGATTAAGGAGGTAGTTAGCTAATGATACAATCTATAAGGCCAAGATGAAGGATAATGCTTATACCTAATCATCTTAAGAGGAGCATAAAATTGTCAGCCCCCTCCAGTGGACAAGGAATGGCTGCAACCTCTTGTTGGGTGACCATGCCGAGTTATCCCTACTAATATGAAATCTCTTTTGCTTATCTTCAGATCTTTTGTATTCTTATGTGTGTCTTCAAGACATGAAAGTAGTCAACCCTTTTCAATTTGAAATAGCCTAAAGTAGCTGGCCAATATTTGATCCATCCAATTAACTGTCCATTGCAAGTAGACTGACGTATTGGTAACATTGGGGATCTATAGCAAAACACTCATTTAGCTTAAGGAGAAAGAGGCTATCATCTTTTTCCTAAGATTAAGTTCAGCTCTTAAAATTTTTCTTTTCATTTAAAAAAAAAAAAAACTTCACATTAAGAGAGTAAGGAAAGGAAAGAAATAATGCTAGGAAAACTTGCGGAATGACAAGTTTTGAAATTTTAAAATAATATAGTGTAGAGGACTACATGCACTTGCTAATACAACATAAAAAATCTTTCTTTCAATTTATACTGTTAAAGCAATTATGAAAAGAAGATAACATGACCTTGCTAAAATTAAAACGATATTGCTATGTAAACCTCCAAAAGAATGAACTAAGGATCTTATCATTTGTTATAAATATTCAATTTAGTTTATTTTAATTATCTTATCTTCAATAGGTATTACTCAAATCATTTCAGCTATACCGCTATTTATCACCCTATTTTTATTAATTTTTCCACACATTACTCTTATTATTCTTATTTCTATCACACTCAAATTTGGTTCTTGGTACTTCTTTATTACTGACTTGGTTTATATAGTATAGTTGTTCTAATTTCAATTTTTTATTGTTGATTGCGATGCTATTCTCTTTTCTTAAAATATTTGAGGCACGTCTATATTTTAATCACCAAGCTTTAGTTCTAAAATTTATGCCCTCATTTATATCTGTAAGCTTTTGTAATATAGATTCATGGTTTCTTAAACTCCATCACACCTAGGTGGCATTTGTTGTTCCACAAATATTGATGACTACATACCAATTATACATCCCCTATAATTGTATATAAATGCATCTAGTTCTTATTCTTGTAATCTTTAATCTCTTATATTATAAATCATCCACCATTATTTTAACTTTTCACTTATCATAAATTATCACACCCATTAGAATTATATCTTCTACAAAAAACATGCATGAAGGTATCTCGCTATTAGAAAGTTCAACGAGTATTGCCTTAATCTTCTATTTATTCCTGTTATGGTGAAATTTTTATTATATGCTCTTCAATCGTTGCTTAATCATATAGAAACTTAATAATTAATGCATGAAATTTTACTTTCACTTATTGGACTATCACATTCATAGATTAATAGAAACGTATGCTTTCAAATTTGTTACTCATTTATATCCTTCTATGTCATCCATTTTCATATAATTTCCCTCGAAAACAATAATTATCTGTTAATAATTAATCTCAAAATGCATGGTTGCCCTATTTTCCTATTCAAGCGATTTTTTTATTCTTATCTACAACTTTTCTATCATTCTGGTTATGCTAACAAAGCATTCGATTCCTGGATGTGGGCTCCTTGCAATCTTCTTCAGTTATTCCGATTTTTATGGCTTCCTTGTGATTCTTTTATCCTATTCCTTTAATTATTGTGAGACGCCCTCATGACTTAAAGACTCCATATATGCATGATTTTGGTTTATAGTGATTTTTGTAGATGTGCACCATTGTGTCTTATTCATGTGCACTTTCATGCCTTTTCAATTTTCCCCTGCAGTTGTATCTATTATTCATTGTTCCTGCCATTTTTGTTCCCCTGCTGTTGTTCCTTATTGGTCTTTTTGTTGTCAACTACAGGCTCACTCTTCTCTCGAATGATTTTTCTAGGATGAAAATATCTATTAAGGTCTATTAATGATGCTTCTTGAAAACCATGCTACATCGGTTTCATTCTACAAAAGTTATGTATTTTTATTTTTTATTTTGTTCAATTGCAAATGGCATATTGCTTGGTATTTAATGTATCTTACATGAACAAAATCTCTAAATAAATATCTCTTGTTTGACAAATTTTGTCTGATAATCCACTCTATCAGGGCAGGCAATGCTTGTTAAGTCTAATATTTAAAATTCATATTTTAAGTTGTGGTTCAAAAGGCATCATCTGCAACCTAACAAATAATTGCAATTTCCGTCCATCTCATAAATCATAAAACCTGTGCTTGCAATGTAAAAAAATATTAATGAGTTTGTATTTACTTTTTGTGGAAATTACATCTAAGCACCTAAGGTCAACTTGGTCCACATTTTTTTACTAACCCTACAATTAGAGCCTTGGGTATGTGGTTCACATTATTATTCGGTGACGGGTGACTTAAAAGTTTGCTTATTCATAAAATGCTCTTTACTTGTAAGCTGGCATGAGAGTACTAGTTGAGCCGATTGATAATGGCCGTGGTTTGCCAGCCATAAACTTCACCACTTAAATCAGTTTAGTACTTGTTAAACGTTTAATTATTCGAATGTATCAATTTAATTATTCGAATGTATCAACATAAATCTTTGATTTCTTCGATCAATTATTCTAACTAAAATGGGTTTTGGGGGCACAAGAATTCTTTTTCTTCTCATTTTTCTTCTCAAATGGCATCAGAAGATTTTGGAGTCGTTCTTTCATCTTCAACAAAAATTGCGATTGTCATGCTTTGCAATAGTGAAAACCCAGAGGGGAAGAGTTTGTAGAAGAGGTGTAGTTTTGTAGCAGATATGTATGCTTTCTTATTATTAGCTTTGATAGAATTTATCAGCGCATTTTTTAATTAACATTTGCATGAGTTGTTTTTCTTTTTAATTTGTTTTTTTAGTTGTTTTATGGCTTATCTAAGTTTTTCAAGATATTTGTATGCCTTATATTGTTTTGTTTTATTTATCAGTTATTATAGTGTTTACAACTTTACACTGCTTTGAACGAGCAGAAACAATTTTACAGTGATGCATTTTCGGAATTGAAACCTCTAACTTTCAATAAAGATTTGCATATATATGATCATGTGATCCCACTTAATGCCTATTTTATGACTAACAACTAAGTTTGAGGACTTGCGCCATGAAAAAGTGCTAGGGTCCCAATTATAAGTTTTTAAAAACATGAACATGTAGCAACCCCATGACCTGAAGCACCCTGCTATGATTTACCCTTTTCTGTTTTATTTCTTTGAAACGTAAGCATCATTGACATGAAACAGCCAACAAACTAAGAATTTTTTTCGCCTTTGCAAGGAACATATGTTTACTAGCTTTATTTATAATAATTTGATTCATCAGGGGTAGCCCACCTTGTGGGAGCCACGGAAGCTATTATTCATTATGTGAGGAAGAAAAATCAAGGAGAAGCTATTTAATTGAATAGGAAGATTTCCTAAATCATATTTAATTGTTTATAAATATTTTCTAAATTATGTTTAATTGTTTAGTAAAGTTTTCTAAATTATGTTTAATTTATTTAGGAAGATTTTTTAAATTATGTTTAACTGTTTAAAAAGTTTTTCTAAATTATGTTTAATTTATTTAGGAAGATTTTCTAAATTATGTTTAATTGTTTAGAAAAATTTCCCAAATTATATTTAGATTATTTATGAAGGTTTTATTTATGTTATTGTGCTTTAGAATTATTTAAGGAGGAGTTGTCTAGAGTTTTAGGATTATCCTATGACTGAGTTTTGGATTTGCTGTAATTTTTTTTTTTTGAGGGCTTCCTAACATCATCTAGGTTGATTGGGAGAGCCGATCCACCTCTCGAACTGTAGACCACCTGCATCTTATTTTCTCTTATTGACATATTAATACAAAATCAACCTCTGTTTTGATTTTATTGTAGTTTTTGTATTTGTTGTTTGATGTTTTTGCTTCCAAGCCGTATCATAATTCTCCAATATGCATCTTCGTGAACTTATAAACTTACTCCTGTTCTCTCATGTGTGGAAATATATGTCAAGTCACTCTTCTTTTTGTAGTTGACGTAGAGCGGCATGCAAGAGATTTCATGGAAGCAGCAAAGAAGCTTCAGCTGTATTTCATCAGCCTACAACATGAGGACCAGCCAACAAAAGAGGAAATGCTGCGAAAGGTTTTGATAAATTGAGTTATTAATTTTATAACTTGTCAGACGATTTCTAATCATTTGGCACTCTCAATGCTTATTAGGAGATCTCCATCATGGAGGATGAGCTGAAGACCAAATCTGAGCTGATTAAGAAGCATGAAAACCGCATCGAAGCATGGAGAGAAGAGTTAAAAGAGCAGCTTGATAGGCACACTGCAGAATTGCAGAGGGTGTAGACTTGCAGCAATTTCGTTAAGGTTAGTAAAGCTTTACTTTGAGAATCTTCTACAGAAGAAAGAGTACGAATGTTCTTTTTTTTGGTCTTGCTATGTTCTATTAGATAGCACAAATGAATATTTGTAGTGTACCTTTAAGATATTTGTTGAAGTATGGGTTCTTCTCTCTTTTCATACAAACTGATGATCCTTTTTTTTTTTTTTTTCAGTTTCAATTAGATACATTTGGGATTGCTGCTGAGGGTTATTGCTATAATGGAACATGTTCTTTAGTCCTATAAAAGAAAACCTATTGGTTATATAATTCATTAAGGGTTCGTTCCGCTTTTAATATTTTTTTCGTCTGTTAACGGTAAAGCATAAAAAATTTATTTGTTTGATAAAATTACTTTTATTAAACATGTTCTGAATACTGTTATTTTTGTACTGTTTTCAAAAACTTTTTGATATTAACTTATCCTTTAGAAAATTCCGTTCTCTCGAACAACAGTTTTAAAACTACCTTTTAGAAAATGTATAGAATAACCAAACGAAGCCTAAACAATATAAATCATATATTGAGATTGAGGAAATCAATAGGCTAACAGTCTTAATTCCTCTCATTCTTTGCTCAAGAAATTCTCTAAAGAATTTGAATTCTTTGTAGTTGCTGAAGGTTTATGAGAGCTTTGCATATCATTGCCTCCTAAGAAAGAATGGGAGCTCTGCTTGGGAGCAAAGGGAAGTGATTTATTAGTTTATAAATTTAATGTTTGCGGGATTCAAATTCAGAATATTAGCAAGAATTTTCAATATCTGTATCAACTAAACAAATTGTCTCCCTCAAAAATGATTTTATTAAGAAAGAGGGAACTACAGTTCCCTTTTTAGGCAATGGAATGTATGTAAATGGCTTTTTAGGCAATATTTGCCTCTAATGTAATTTGTAGGTTTCAAATTTGAGCCAAAGAAAGAACTTTTTATTAATTTAGCATTAATGCCATGTACATTAGTAATCTTACCCTGATTCTGCTTTGTACTTATCATCCTTATTTTGTTGGATTAGAGCTAGCCATTCGGTTGCTTTGCTTCTGATTGATTATGTTAAAGAGACCTTCTCTATTTACATGAATAAACATAAAAAAGATCTCCATGGATTTCAATTAATGCTTATATGTTAAAATGGATATAAAATTTAAATTGGTGAACTATTTTAAGATTTGGATTAAAGGCTGGCTGCCCTTACAACCTTCATCATAATCTTGCCATTTGGTCAATTATAATTTCTGATTGATTGAAGTTGTCATATATTTTTAGGCTTCATCTGGGATGATTTTCTTACTGTTTTTTAAAATAATTTTTTAGTACAAATAAAATCGTCCCAAACAAAGCCTAAGAACTTTAAATTTTTGCTCACAAAAAAAGCTATCTTGAGGATGAGACTGCTTCTTTCATTATGGAAGAAGATAGTTTTCAGGACATGGCAAAGAGAAAATCCGCCATGCTATCATGTTGAAGAAGAGTTCAAAGACTGCTATATATTTGACTTTGAACAGCTTTCTTATTGCTTTTTAAAACAGCTTTTTAATTAAAAAATTAAAAAGCTGCTTTAAAAAGCAGTAAGAAAATCGCTCCAAATGAAGCTATAGTCTCTACTGCAAGAGAAGAAAAAAAAGAAATATGACCATAACAAACAAATGAAATAAACTGTACCCATAAAAATTAAATATAACCAGTTTCTGAAAATCTATTCAAAAAGCTACTTTCATTTCCTTCACTCCATTCTTCACAATCAGGCAATAAAATCAACTATGGTGCTGGGTGGGGACATACACTTGCAGTATGAACTTTACTGGTAGCAAAATAATTTCAAGAGTCTTCATTTAAGTCATCAGAGGAGAACAATAATTTAAACAAGTACAAGCACAGAAAAAGAGTGAATTAAGTTAAAAAAAGAAAAAAAAATTAACAGGACCTTTCTTGCTATACAGATAGAACTAACTGACATATACAAATTTCAATTTCTTCACACCTCTAGTAAGAAAGAAAAAGAGCTGATCAGGGCTTCTAAACATGGCACCAAAAATAGCATGAACAACTAAGATCACCACTGCTTACTCACTATCTCCTGCTTTTGTCTGAGAGGAAACTCCCCTTAATCCATTAAACAGGTTTGGCAACTGCAGATTCAGATAAAAAAAGGGAAAGGACAATACATCATTTAAAATGAAAGACTCATATGATACCAAGAAATATGACAATCTTCTTAGAATTAATGCTAGAATTATGATAAGAATCTAGCATCTAAGGCTTCGTTTGGGACGGCTTTCTTACTGCTTCATAAAATGACTTTCTAGTACAAAAAAATTAATATTTGTACTAGAAAGCCGCATTAAGAAGCAGGAAGAAAGCCGTTCTAAACGAGGCCTAAGAAGCAAATGATAACATCACTAGACATACCTTCTTAGGAAGTGGTCTCAAGGCTTTAGAGCCACCACCCTCTCCTTTCACTTCTAGAGGTTTCAAAATGTCAAAAGAACACATTAAGGATTTATCTATGCTCAACAAAGCGCCGGCATTATCGAATTCTCCGCAGTAGTTGGGAGCTGAAAATATTGTCACTAATCTCCTCTTTGCAAAAAACTCGTATCCATCCTCGACCACCTGGAAAAAGAAACAATGAGTAGAGCTCCTTTCGACACCATTTATAAAAACAAAGACATGATAAGTCTGGTTTGGGACAAGAAAAATCAACATACCTGATGGGCGCGGCATATTAGATCAAGATCATTCTTCTCTAAGAATTCTATAAGTTTATCGGCACCAAAAGTGCATGAAACACCTCTATCACTTTTTCCCCATCCTTCAATGTCTGGGTCAGGATCAGCCCAAAGCAAATCACAGAGGAGACCATAATCAGGGATCTCAGAAGGTCTTTGCATGTCTCTTATTTGGTCCAAACTTATCAGTTCAGGAGAGAGTCCACCATGCATGCACAGTATTTTTTCTTCAATGATTGCAGCTATGGGTAAGCAATTGAAGCAATCTGTAAAAATCCTCCAGAGACGGACATTGAACCTTCTCTTACATTCATCGTAGAAGCCATAAACCCTATTAATTTTTGCATCCTCATGGTTTCCTCTTAAAAGAAAAATCTTGTTAGGGTACTTGATTTTGTATGCAAGGAGCAAACATATTGTTTCTAAGCTTTGTTTTCCTCGATCAACATAATCACCAAGGAATAGATAGGTTGAGGATGGAGGGAACCCGCCACATTCAAAGATTCTCAAAAGGTCAATGAATTGTCCGTGGATATCACCTGCAAATCATATTCAAATATAATAATTCTGAAAGTTTTCTGAAAGGCTTCATAATCTATTTTGCATGTACACATTATGAGCATATGGCAGAAGTGCAAGATTATCTTCGAGTAGACAGATTTTCTTCTATTTGATTGGGGAGTATACAAGATAAAGAGCAAAGACATGACAGTATATAATATGGGAACATCTTTAAACAAAATAATTAAAACCAAAAAGTCAAGTAAAGATTAACATATTATTTAAAAAGGACTATATAATGGAATTGGCTCTGGGCTGTTGTACAACTGAAAACCAAAAAGACTTGATAATCACTTTAATTTGCAATTGAGGCAATTTTAATGAGAAGAATTCAAGTGGAGCAACGGTCTGACGTCTTCCTCATAAATTTAAAAAAAAAAAGTCCATATTTAGATAATTTCAAATCATATTTAGCTCAATGATATACATCTGTATAGAATATATGTTTTAGGACTAGTAACTGAATTAACTATATTTTTGTTGGTAACCAAGAATTTCCAGGCTCAAATCTGTTGTGCACTGCATATCATGGTACATAATAGAGAAGCTGTATATGATATTGTTTTGTTTAATGATTTGTTTGAGGCATACTTCAAAATGTTGAGAATAGATACAATTACTAAAGCAGACCATTTTGCATGCTAGGAATCTGTTTAAGACTAATTCATTTCCCCAATCAAAATATTTTTGGATTGGCCTTCAACTTCATTCCCCCTTATATCATTGATTATAATGGAAAGTATTATCCCTAATATTTAAAATATCTGAGGACAACATTAAACTTTAACTGCATTACTTTCATCATTATTGACAGCTGAGCTTGAATTAGGTATATCAGTGCCAGCACACTTGATTTTTCAAGCTTGAATTTTAATTCATTTTATAAGTTGGACAGTACCCCTTCAACATGGGTTGTGAAGGAGATCATGTTGTTATTTTCTCAGGACTCTAGCTTCATTTGGTTATTTGATACTTTTGTAAAAGACAGTTTTAAGAAACATTGATTCATAAAATGGAGTTTTCTAACGAAGAAGCATATATAAAAAGCTTTCTCAAAACAACAAAAAAATAAAAAAAGTAATTATTGGGAACGTAAACCAAACAGTAAAAAATAAATAAATTTGTTGTTTTAAAATGGAATAAGCATAAAAAACTTCCAATAAAACGAAGCCTCTCTCTCCAAAGTAACATTCTACTTATTTTGTATAGCACGATACGACTTCATGTGACCCTTGGAAGTAACACTACTTTCCATGGTTCATTGTGCAGAAGACTTTGTTTTCCTATGGGGGTTTACATACATAGAACTCACAACTATAAGATTTATATATTTAATAGCTAAACTTCACTATTTACATGCTAACTCCATTAATAAAACCATCAACAATGAAAAGGAAGTCACGACGGATCTCGTCAGACACAAGGAAGGAAGTCGTGATGAGATCTTATAGGGAAGGGTGACAAGATCTACAATGCATTGTCTTCAATTCCTCCTGCCTATCTCACTCTCACGTACACGGCCTATCTCTTCATCTCCATCTCTTGCTCAATATCTCACAAGTCGAGTGGCTCCAGCTTCATCCCCTCTCTCTCTCTCTCTCTCTCTCTCTTGCATCCCCTTACCTGAGCTAATCCTCTCCCTAATCAATCACCCCACATTGGTGAACTATGCCTCATGCATCACCAATGTCTTTTCTACCAACAATCACGATGTTGAAACTCCACTGTTTCCATCAATTTATTGCCAATGATCTCTCCCAACAGATAGGGTAATGAGGGCACTATTTTTGATGTTATTTAAAGTTCTAAGTGTTGTGTGTGTAAATAACAAGGTTAAATATGTCAATTCTATAGTTTTGAATAATATGTACATAAATCCCTTTCTATTTTAATTTATAGTTTGAGGGCTTGTAATGGGGAGTGATGATTTGGATTTGTCAGCGCAAAAAATATTTGATGATCAGTCAATGTAGAAAATATTTTTGAGAGTGAGAAAATTTTCAAGAGCATAAGAAGAGCTCAGTTGAATCAAGGAAATGGTCCAAGTGCATAAGGGGTCAAATCCATACCAAAATCTTAAAATTATCCTCACTTAGCAACCATTCCTCCTTTAGTAGTCATCTTCTTAGAGGCCATTGTGTCAATCATATTCTTTTCCCAATTTCTTCACTTTCATTAGTTCTAAGTTATCTACGAATCTTTCAATTAAGCTTGAACCCTTTATAGCCCTTCTAGGTCCGAGCAGGTTTGAGATATCCACAGATTGATTAGATTTCAATTTTCATGGTTCTTGGCCAATGCATAATTGCTTGCTATTGACATTCTAATTGGATGCCGAATAAGTGGAGTGAAGAGAATCCATATAGCATTGATAACAGGCACAAGAAATATTCAACCAAATTTCAACTAAATAATAGGAAATCAACTAATTGGGAATCCATATTAACATTCCAATTGTTGCAATTGAGAATCAACAAAAGAACCTCATGTTCAAGAGCATAACTGGAAAGGTGATCTACGTATCTTTTAGTTGTTTTCCTAAGTTGTTATCTTTAAACAAAAAGCCTCAACCATCCTTTCAACTTCTCTAATGGTTTAAGATTTTTGGCATCTCAATTTTCTAAAATACCATCCTCAAATCACTATATGTATTTTAGTTTTCATCCATCATGGTCCTACACTCCATTTTCATTCTAAAAAACCTAGTTTTTGTATATTACATTTCAAAATTGAATGTTATAAAATTCATTTAACTATTGGAAGATACGGTCATGGATGCAAATAGTTGCTACACAAACCACAGTGCAACAGCACCAACAATCCTTCTGCAATTCCTCACCCCACAAGAAACACACACATATCAAAAAAAGAAGGCAGGTAGGGGAGAACAAACTAACTAAAGCTGGTAATAAAAAAGACTAATAGTTGGTAAAACTTGAAAAAAAATGTGAACAAAACCTATGCCCCAGGTTTTGATAAAAATAGACCCTTCTTTTAATATGAAGCAATTTAGCACTCCTGAATTGCTTCTCCTTTCCCTTTCAAAACTCTACAAAAACTAATCCATTCATATCTCACAAAACTTGCCCTCCTCTTTACCTTTTCCACACTAGTTCCATTGGGGTGCTAGTATTCTACTCTTTGGCAGCCGTAAGATCTGCTTCTCTCTAAAAACTCGTATGTTTTTTTTTTTTTTTAGAACTGAAATCATCACCGCTACCATCACAACCATCCCTCTGCCCTCTTTTTATCCTCTCCCAATAACACCTGATCTGGCGATTCATATCCTCTCGCCTTTAAAAGAAAAGATAAGGACGGAAGTCCAAGAGACTCCTATTGGTATCAGCAATGGAGAGTGTCAGGGAAAAAGCTTGAACAAACCACCGTATTTTATTTACCAAAAACAATTTCTAAGTATCACAAGAACCGAGACTACTAATAAATAATAATTCATAGTAGTTAATGAAGCGGTAATGCAATATACTACTGTAAGCTTCACATGATAACCAAAAGAAGAAAAAGAAAAGAAAAGCACTTTGCAAGCAGAAGATCTTCCAAGGTGCCCAAAGCTAGAATATAAAAAGAATTCATCAAAAATTAAATTCAGATGAGAATAAAGTTCTGAACATTGACCAGTTGGCAATGTACTCGCTAAGATGCAATGCGCCAAGGTAATCTTCAATATCGTGCTAACTCTATCTCTGTGAAATTTCTGATTATTTACAAGTTTGTCCTTCCTGTTTGCTTTTGAAACCATCAAGAACAAACACTGCGAAATAAGTTTATTATATTCTTCCATGGATAAGAAGAATAAATCTTAAGGATGGCATTATGCAGGAATAAACCAAGAAAACAGACGAACTTCGTGAACTAACAGTAATCAGGAACAAGCCGTGTGGCTTTTACATTGGATTCTAAGAAAAAAATTAAGGCCAGCTCAACTCCCTTCGTTACTCAATTATGACGGAAGGGTGTCTTTCCTAGAGGTTAATTACTACCCACTAGCTCATCTGAGGGTCCTAATACTAGATAATTTAACATCAAACTATAGCAAAAACTGCCTTTCAAAAAGTATCCAAATGGATGCAGAGGTATATAAAACACTTCAAAGCAAAAAGAAAATTAATATTTGGTGACATGTAGAAGCAAAAAAAAGGGTTCATATTATGTTTCCTTTGCATTGTGATGAAGTGACAGCAGCTTTGGATCTACCTGCCGCTCATCTGGTGCACGGTGAGAGAGGAAGGTGTGATACCTTTAGGTTCAGATGAAGAATAGTTTGAGATCGAGGAATTATAACAACGAGGAAAGCCAAAGTTATTCACTAGATATAAGGCAATAAGAAGGGAAGACAATCAATCCAGTCAGTCATGGAGGTTTAGTGAAAGAATTCAATAAAACAACGGGATATGAGCATAAGCAATATTGGTCTTTCTGTCAACTTTGGCGATTTGTAAAAGTTGTTTTGATTGCAGGATTTTCTTCTCTCTCACAAGAAGGAAACAGAATGGAGCTTTATTAGATTATGGTTTTAAACGGCCTTAATTCACTTCAATAAATTTCATAAAAACTAACCTCAAGCCATCTCTTAGGTTTAGATGTATGATAGATGTGGATGCCCGTAGTACTCCAACAAGCTAGCATTAGTACCTACGTAATAATTACACTTTGAAAGCCTAATATGATTAGATGTGAAGGTTGTATTTCAATGATTAGGTGTGAAGGTTGTATTTCAATATCACGCAGGTAATTCCTGAAGTTCGAAGAACATCGAACTTGCACCAAAATAAATCCAGCCAATAAATGAAAAAGAAACCTCATACATGGTTTTTTTCATTTTCAATATCTATCAGATCCTTAGTCGATTTTTTGTGTTATTTTTATCTTCTAGCTCAAATAACGTAACATAAAAATAGACAATTTAATTTGTTTCAACTTATCTAACTAAACATCCTTTTCTCATGAAACAAGATGGACAAAAAATTTGAACCCTTCATATTTAAATGTCATCTCATATATTTTGTTTTCTACATGAAATAGATGCAAATGTTTATTCGGGTAGCAACAAGCTGATCAGTGACTAACTAGTGGCAGTGGTTTAATTTTTTTTTTTTTTTTTTTTTTTTGTGGTGTCGGTGAGTTCGAGAAGCTCATTCAAGCTCGAGTTGAATGTTAACAAGCATGAGCAGAGTTTGAGCTCAAGCTCAAGTTCGAGCCACCTGAAATTTAGGCGAGCCGAGCTCGAGCTTGTTATGGCTTGAGCCCGACTTGACTTTTTACACCCCTACATGATTCTAATCAAAATTCATGTATGATCTTGACACTCAAATTTCTATTGTCTTTAATTTGTATGCAAATGTTGGTGTTGATAAGGCGATTGTTATGCTAGGAGTATGTGAACATCTGTGTTCAACAATGCAATGGAAGGAAGTACATGAAAAAAGAATTTTATAGTAATAGTACGGTCAAAGAGGACCCAAAGCTTGAATTGGTTCAACTACATAAAGATTGATGCAAAAATGCCTCCAGCTTCCTCATCTAGCTTATTATTATGATGAAAGAGGGGAACAACGGGAAGTAAGATCCATGGGAGCAGGCATGCAGGGGATCGTGCAAGCGGGATGCAGTATAGACATGATGCTCCATGGGAGATGTGGGATTGGGATTAAATGCAATTGAGGTGAGCGGAGTTACCTATGAGGTTGCTTGGGGGTGAATGCTTGGGCTAGCGAAATACTAGAGATGCGAGATGCATAAAATTATGCAAGCAAAGACGAGCATTATAAAATGAAAGTCAAGGTTGAGTAGAGATGTGGAGGCCGATTTGCGACAGGGTGTGTTATGGGAGGTCTTGCTACAATGAAAGAAAGAATGGTGGGCTACAGGATTGGCAATGTGTGAGGGAAGGGTGCCTAGGGGAGATTAAAGTGGGATAGGAGGGAGGGAGAGTGGGGAGTCTTTGCTTTGAGCCATATTAAACCCAAAAAAATGCGTAATGTATTATTGATTGAAAGCTAGTATGGGCATGAGCAAAAAAGGAAGCAATAATGAAGTGAATGTCCTCAATTAAGAGAACATCAAGCATAATAAAAATGTATCTCTTAATCAATGCTTTCCAAATATAGCAAACACCAATATTGTTATTTTCCTATAATAGCATATCTTAAATAAACTATATAGTTTATTATAGTTGTTTGCAATCGAGTGCTAACTATGGAAAAAAAGGCTCAGAAAAACACTTGAGCTAAAAAAATACTCTCCAAGTGATAGATAAACAAAGAAACACTATCAATTCCAGACTTTGATCAATTTCACCGTTCATTGGGATGTAAAATGTGATGGCATGCAATGCTTGCCACTAGAGAGAAGAAATTCGCATGATATGAACAATAAGCTATTAAATTTTCTCTAACATGCTATCAATCTATCCTGCACACTATTAGCTGCAGGAAACACTAAACAACACCTACCAAGCAAGTGACTCGGCAAGTATTGAAAAATGGTATTTTAGTCCTTGAAATCTCAGCCTAATCACCAAATAGATTCTTTTTGATCTCAAGAACCACTAAAAAGTAGTTTACAATGAAGACACTGAATTCCACACAATATATGTGTAATAACCGGACCGAACCGGTGTGGGTTCTTCGGCATGCGGGAGCCGACCGCTCCCTCCACCCAGATTGAGACCAATCGCACGCATCAACCGTCGTTTTGCGCCCCTTTGACTCGCGTCTCCCTCCAATAGCGTAAATCACGTGATTCCTTTGTCTTCTGAAATCCTCCCGCCCTTGTCGGCCTTACCATTTAAACCCAACAGGGAAATTAAGGCATCATTTTACTCTTTTTCTTTCTAGCTCGAAATAGCTGCCGAGCCTCCTCTTCTTTCTCTTCATCTTTTTTGTTGTCGCCGCTGTTGAAGGTATTCAACCTCTTCCTTATTCGATTGAAAGACAATAGCATATAATCTTCCTCCTATCTTCTTCCTTAGTTAAGAACCACCGACAATAATTCATCTTATCCTTCTCAATCGATCGTAAGGTAACCATCAAATTCCTTCATATTCTCCATCGTTACCTTATCAAATTATTTGTAATTATAGTGGTTTATCATAAGCTTGTGTTTCCAATGAATCCATGAATATATGTATTTGTTCATATTAGATCATAAGCTTTGATTTTTTTTAGCAAGAGATTATTCCACATTAATATAAATTCTTTTTCGACTTTTTGGTTCGGTGGCCTTAGTTATTTTCTCTTCACTTATTGTAGGATTTTTTTTTTCAGGTCTTTTTCCTCATAGCTTTGCCGATTGAATATCTAATATGCTTGGAATTTCGTGTCGCTAGCCTAGAGGTAAGTAAATGTTATTTATTTTGACATAAATATACCCTTCTTTATTAGGGACGTAATCTGTGATATTTGCATTAGATTTTTTTATAATTATTTAAGTTGTCAGTTATATTTATAATATTTATTAGTATTGTTCATGTCAGGGATTTGATTTGATTTACATTGAAATCATCATGTAGTAGAAATAAAATTATTTTGATTTGTTCATCTACGAACTTTTAGCATTTAAATAGTTCATGCTATAGAAAGTTTAATTTATGCACATTAACTTTATTTAATGCAATGCATGATACACATGTTGCAAATTATGTTGGTTATATAAATAATGATTGTCATGTTGATTTATATAATACATGTTGAAGTTTTTTTTTTTGTAAAAGCACTTACACTATATAATTGTGTGTATGTCGGTAGAACCCTATGGTCGACGAACCCCTAGAGTGACAACTCTATAGAAAAAATTATTGGATTTTCTTGGGTGGTTGTTTACCTTCTCAGTGATGGATATATGATAAACTGACAATATATATATAAGAACATATAAGCGAACATGAATTGAAAACAATAAATAACTGATATGTCATTTTGAGGCATAATGATAGAAAATGTGATTGCATTCATGGGCATTAAAATAAATTACACTTACACTAGTTTGGTACATACATTAATAACATTAGCATATTAAATTTCTGTTGTAGAAAACATGGCATGTGTTAGTACTATTTTGTTTTGGTGAATATAGGTTGTTACTTCTACCTTTTGATTGTTCATATTGTATGCCCCATTCTGTTGTCGTTTATATTTTGATAGATAGGAGTTACTTGCTAAGTTTAATTTATCAAACTCACCTACTGTCTCTTTTTAGATCCTGTAAGTGTGTTTTGTAGACAGCCACCTCAAGAACAAATTACCTGTAATAGTTTGCTTTTTGTATTTTATATTTTATAAAAGTTTATTATGTTTTTTAATTATGAGAGTTTGGTAGTTTTTTTCTTGTTATTTGTTCTATTTATATTCCTTTTGGCTTGTATCAAAACTATTTTTATTTTGTACTAGTTATTTGCATTTCATTAATGAATTGGCTTTATAATTCACTTCCTATATTTACCCTGTTATATAACTTGTATATGCAAATTTCTCTTACAAAACATGCCTTTTTATCCCTAAATCACGTCCCATGTTGCCGAGGTGTACCGCCTCCATGACCCATGGTGTAATAATATGTAGCATCAGTAACTTACTGCCAATGGAAGAATCCGGCCAACTGGATTCATAGAGACAGTTCTCCTCCTACAATTTAAAAAATGTTCTAAACTTCCCGATGTCTGTGAAGTAACATATAAACCTAAAATAATCAAATCTTCCGAAACATATAGATCAATATTTTACTAATTTGCAGGCCCTTTCAGCCAAATAGAAAATTGTCAATGGGTTTCCTATGATAACAGTTCACGATACAAGAATATACATTTTTCTAACTTAATCATTTTCATTCGTTCACATCCTTCCCCATGGATCGATAATCAGACCTCGCATAACTCCCATTGCTCACCCTTAGTTTAGCCTAATTAAACTAATTCCTCATATCCATTAAAATATAAACGTAACAAGATCCCAAAATAAGAGGCGGATATATCCAGAATTCCAGATAAATAAACTGATGGTAATTCAACAATCTCATGCACAATTCTACAAACTTCCTATGCATAGAACTTTCCGACAATCTTATTATCCAATTCAATACCAAGTAGATTAACCAGGACAAAGCAAAGCACATTGAGCCCGCTAAAACGCTTACCATTCACGACTTCTCAACCTCATGAAACGTTCTGCCTACCAAAACCTAATACAGTCCGAAAATCGAATCGCCATTTCTTAGTCATAACAAACGTAAAAGATTAAAACTAAAAAAGAAACCACCAAAAAACGGAACAAACAGACTAAAACCAGCCGAAAAATCATTCAGGATTGCAACACGCAAAATTTTCAGGGAGAGCGGATAGATAAAATTGAGAACTGACCGCAGATCTTGATTGGGGCTTGTATCTCGAGCAGATTTGGCTGCGAGAGGAACACCTGCTTGGCCTCGACGCAAAGTTGCCGGATCTCCAACTCCGAAAGCTGGACTTGGCGAAAGCGGCCTCCCTTACCGCCGGCAAGTAACCTCCTTATGATGTCGTTGAGGATGGGGGCCTCCATGGCCCCCATCGAGCTCGTAGTCATCATCATCTTGCTCCTCCTGCTTCTCTCCTCCCGTAAAAGAAACCCCTGTCCCCTTCTTCCCTCTTCAAATCAATCCCTTCTGGAAATTTCTCGTCGATATCGCCTGATAACCGCCGGCGCACTCCAACTGCCGGCGGGAGAACAAGCTTTCGGAGAATTTTTCTACGCCTTCCCCGACTTTTTCTTTGTTGGCCGAGGGGAAAACGCGTGGAAATTGCTGTTGTTTGACGGCTCTGAAGACTCTAATCATGGGTAAATTATTTCTAATTTTCGCAATGCTTTTTCTAGGTTGTATTTATTTATGCATTTATTTATATTTGGATTTTTTGTTATAAAATGGTAAATTTGTTTGACATTTTCTGCTAATTTTAAAAATATTTCATTTTTAGCATGTGTAGTTTGTTTCATATTGAAGGTTGTGCAAGTCTTTTTTTTTTTTTTAAGGTTATGAGATTGGAGCGTGAGCAGTATAGAGAATTTTTCGCCTGTCAACCAAGAACAATTATTAGGTCATGTGATCTGATGTAGCTCTACGTTCATACGCCAATAATATTTCGCCACGTCTTCTTACTTTTTACCATGCGGCCCGACGACCTAACCCGGACCGGAACCCGAAATTGCTATGTTCGCGTATTGCTAGGTATTGCTATGTATTGTTTGTCAAAAATGAGAAATACTGCTCTGTGAAGACCAATATCGAGCAATACCGAAAAACTCAGTATTGCTAGGTATTGATCTTCACATAATGGTATTTCTCGTTATTGTCGAGCAAAATCGATCAAAACCTAGCAATACCGAGCAATACGCGAACATAGCAATCTCAGGTTCGTTCCGGGTCGGGTTGTCGGGCCGCGCGATAAAAAGTAAGAACACGTGACACTATTTTACTGGCGTCCGAACGTAGATCTACGTTAGGTGACCGGACCAAATAAAAGTTCGTCAACCAATGAGCCACAACGCTCGATTTCGTTGTGCAAATCTGCAAAATTTCTTTTGAATATGCTTTATAACAATAATATGCTAAATAGGCATATGATGATTAGGCATAAAATTTGATATGAATTTAATATTTTAAAGAATCAGAATTTTGAATTATAAAATTTATTAAGTAATTATGACATCATTCAAAGCTATTTTTAACAATTATAATTTTAATTGTGTTTCAGTAATGTAAAGATTTGACTCCAAATCATCATAATTATAATATTGAGAGTTTTACATGCATATCAACTTATATCACTCTATTTACATATCTAACATCTAAAACTTTAATATTACATACATAATAATATAAGATGGTATGTATGTAATATTAAAATTTTGAGTGTTAGATATGTAAATAGGATAATATAGAGTGACATGTATGTAAATGGTCCTATAAAATTTTCAAGCGCATTTGAGAGTCTAATGTCCTTCAAATGGTACATGCTAAGAATCTAAAATAGCATCTCAAAGTGACAAATCTAATGAGTATAAATTTACTCAAATTTTAATTTAGTGAATGTCCATAAAATATAATATGAAGGAAGAAAATCTTAACAGTCCAATAAATAAAATGTTCAAATTTTTATCATAAAAGTATTGGAATACCCTCTCCACAATTATATGAATAGCTCATATTGATACATATTCAAAAGAAGATTTTCAATGAAGATAAATTTAAAATTCATAGAGAATTCTAGAGCTATGATATCAACCGTCAATAACTATAGACCGACATTAGCAATCAGACACCGGATGTCGTTCGAAGCCCAATAAAAATGTGTCACATCACCCTTACTCGATACTGAGCAGTACCGAGCTCGATATTGCTTAGTACCGAGCTCGGTACTGTGAAATACCGAACTCAGTACTTCACAATACCGAGCTCAGTATTACTTGGTACTGTTCTGTCCGAACCCAATAATCTCCCCTTAGGTTATAACCAATGCCAAGAGTGTTTCTCACACAAAATGAAAAATTCTCCTATGGAAGAGTTGTTGCATAAGAGGCCTATTGCCAGTTTTGATCTCTGTGGAGGCTTTGCCAGTGGCAACATAGAATCCTATTTAACATATATAATAATGATTTAATATGTCAATGAAATTCAACTATCATTTTTCTATTAATGTTTAGTAGTTGATTGATGAATTTGTAATAACTTTCCATTATTTGTTGAGGAAAAATAAACGATGCCCTACTAAAAGACAAATTTTAGATAAAAAAATAGGCTCATCCTCTTTCATAATTTTTTTTTTTCATCAATTTCTAACTACATGAGACTAACAAGAAAATATTGAAAAATATTTTAGGATGACAGAAAAAATGATAAGCACATGGATGAGAAATTATTAGGTGTAGAGTCCGGACGTAGATATATGTCTGGACTCCAATAAAATGTTGACACGTGGAGTGGATACGTGAATATTCAATTGAATTTATTTTTTATTTTATATATTTAATGTGTCCACGAAAATTTAAGCTAAGAGTACCAAAATTGATGAGAAATTTTTAGGTGTAGAGCCCGGACGTAGATATATGTCCGGACTCCAATAAAATATTGACACGTGGAGTGGAGTGGATACGTGAATATTCAATTGAATTTATTTTTTATTTTATATATTTAATGTGTCTACGAAACTTTAAGTTAAGAGTACCAAAATTGCAAGTAAAGCACGGTCAAAGCCCAATAAAACAGCGTAACTAAAGTGCAACTAAAGCACAGGTAAAATGTACAAAAAAAATGCAACCAAAGCACAATTCACATGTCACATTTTGAATGGTTGTCAGGACGTATCTCTACGTCCAGACTCCGCACCTAATAATTTCTCGCACATAGATAATATTTAGCTAATGTATTTCTTATAAATTTTGGTCATACAATGATATAATACATGGTTATGCTTAGACCATCTCCAATGGAACGGCAACAATTGTTTGTCGTTCTTCTGTCGCTCCCACTTAGCGGCAATTTCGCCGTTATTTCATCGCGGGTGAACAGTGCGACCCCAATAAGTCGCACTGTTCACCCGCTAAATTTTTATGTGTCAATGAGATTTTCCTGCGAAATAGAGAAAGACGGTTATGAGACAACGAAGCCAGCGAAATGGAGTTCAATTGGAGAAGAATTACCGCATTTTGAAGTCTTGCTGTATTTTGCAGTGAAAAATGGAGTTTTCGATTGGAGATGCCCTTAAGAGGATACACGATGCAATATATGGCTCAGCTGAATATATATATATATATATATAAATGCAGGGCAGTGGTTGCTCCGCCACTGCTTCGGGCCAACCGGTCATCTTTGAAGACTGGTACCAGCCGACGTCTCCTTGCCGTCAAGGCCTCTGCTTTGAATTGGCCACCTGACTTCGCCGCCTCATTTGATCAAAAGCTCCTAGGCTGACAGCACTTGTGCCTCCCTCCAGCTCCACATCGCTAACTGCAGCGATCGCCTTGGTATTCTTCCAAATAGAAGATGTCTCCGCTCCTCACCTGCTGATGCTGACATTTCGTTGTTGGCTCTTCAACAACCGGTTCATTAGTAAGTCATCGGCTCCTCAATCACTGATCTCCTCTCCTATAAAGAGAAGGACTAAGCGCAACCAAGTGTATTTAAATGATAGCCCCAACCGAAAAACTCATTTTCCACTCCAAAACGTAGTAATTCATCGCTAACCGAACTCCATTCTCTCCTATTTCGCACACTTCTTCATCTCGCTGCGAAGGTAAGCAATTTTCTCCTCTTTCACACGCTTCTTTGGCAAATCTTGTAATGCAAAAAATTGGCGTAGGTGAACAGCGTTGACGTCGCACTGTTCACCTACCGAATTTTCGTGTGCGATTGAGCATTCGAATGGAACGAATGGTGGATGACATACCACCGTATGCAGTTTTGTTGGAGTTGATCTAGCATTCAACAAGTATAAAAAGAGTTGTCCTACTGGCCATGCATATCCTACAGAAAAAATTGCTAAGAGAAAGAAAGCAGGGAGAGAGAAAGAGAGGGTTTAGGAAATGGGAGATAGAAGAATCTATGAGAGATAGGATATCAGTAATGTGAAGTAATGAAATGAACAATGACCCACTTGTTAGAGGAGAAAACTACTAATATCATGAATTCATGCAATATGCTTTATTATTTTTCGCTCATTATTCTTTAAAAAATAGTGAAAATGAGGTGCACATTAACTAAAAAAAGAAAGCTAAGGATCCATACAGAGTCGGAAATCACCCTTTTCTGGATGAAAGTCCTGCCAAAAAAAAACTATGTCAAGGATAATAATAGCAAGCTTTGAATTCTTGAACTGTCATTTGTTAAGAGCAGCCCTTGCATTCAACGTGGTCACTATTAACAGCTCTGAGGCACCCAATGATCAATGGAGAAGCACAACTAAATAATGTAAAAAAGAAAGCTAAGAACAACGGGGATGACTTTCCACATAGGTATATCAAAAAAATGAAAAAAATGAAGAGAGAGTAAAGCAAAGCTTGCATTAGATAATCAAAACCAAAAAAGTAGTAGCAGGGTTAGAAAATGGAGAAATTATTCTGCGCGGAGACCAGATGCAAAACTTTGTCCGAAGATCAACCATAATGCGCCACGTCAACAGTATCGAGCCGCGGTACCGAGCCGTGGTATCGAGCAAGGGGTGACGTGGTGTATTCTAATTGGCCTCCGAACGATGTTCGGCATCCGCACAGAATAATTAATCTAAAAAATGAGCAAGACTGCAGTGGCTAACTGACAAGTTTCTGCATGAGTACATTTTGAAGAGAATAAAGAGAGACATAGAATTATAGTAGATACATAGACAATGAATTGAGAAAAATAAAGGACAAATTTCATCAGCCCAAGTTCATTCATGAAGCTAAGGCCGTAGCAATGTGCATGGATCTAGGAATTAGCATCGCCATGCTTAGTTTGAAGATTAGCATAATAGTGTAACAAATCAGGCATAATCATAGTATCGCCATGCTTAGCTAAAGGGTTTCAGGAATCATCCCATGAGGCTATAAGCATATTCTATGCAAATTCTTTTGCTTAACTTTCATCTCTATCTTATTTGGTCAACCACTTTTTTAAAAATCTTATGACATTATTTTTATGTGTCTTCTGAGTGAATTTTTTATTCTTTGTTGTACATATTCAAACAACTTAATTCTAATTTTCAGTAGGTTACCTACAATAGATAATACTCCCAAAATCCCTCTTATTCATTTATCAATCTTTCATTCTTAATTTAATCACAAACTCATCTTAAGATTATCATTTGACA